AGATCCCAATTTTGAGACGAACGTTTAAAGAGTGCAGTTCAAAAAGTGAGCACAATTAGATTAGACCTTGGCTTGCATTCTCACTCACTTTAAGTTCCATTTCCCCTAATTTAATGGAAGGAACTTCAAACCACATTTTAGTTACTCAATGACTTCTCAAGCCCCTTATGGAAAATGGTCATAACGTAATCACTGACACACACACACACACACACACACACACACACACACATTTTTTATCTTTCCTGGGAGGTGTTATGAAACTAATGTTGGTATGGGGCTTTAAAAGGCCCTCACCGACTAGATCTTTTTATAATCCAGAATTTCACTGACTTTGTTTAAATTTTCTTGTATTTTTATTTGTGGGTTACTTAAGCTTTATCTATTAGCCTTATATTTCGTAATGCTAACAAGTAGAGATGTGCAGGTATAAACGCCACTACTATGGCTCTAATAAGTGCTACGATCACCAGTAGAGATCAATTATTAAAGCAAAATAATATATAATTTATATTAATATTTTAAAGACTCCCCATTATATGCTACTGTTTTTTTTCATTTAAAAGTTCTTTCCTTCTCTCTAAAAGTTCCCACAGTTTAACTCTGATCCATCCTGTAACTATAAGACCAAATAATTTTGGATTTTTGCTAATTTAGATTATTATTTTTACACATAATAAATAAAAAACACGCTTAAGCTTTGGGGAGCAACCAAAATCACTTAGCAGAAAGGGGCATGGACCAAGATAATAGAGAAAAGTCAAGGTCACTAAGAATATTACCTCATTCGAATTTTGGATTCGGATTGTGCAATATTCATTTAATGGTAGTTCATTTTGCGAAAATCACATTTTAAGTTTCGTCAGCCAGTTTGGGGCAACTATCTACCTATAATTTTCGGTGATTACTGGCCAGTTTTTTAAATCCAGAATTTTCGCTCGTGGCGCACGAGTTCCTTTTCACAAAGGATGGGAAAGAAAAAATGTTCTTTCATAAAAAAACCCGTACTTTTTAATTCGTACTATAAATGAGATGGACAAATACCCATTTTCATAAACTTTTCTGTAAGCCACTAATGCGACTAATTTCCAACTTCATACAAATTTATTCTAGGATGCTAGAGTGGCGACGACGGGTAAAAAAGTACTCAACATTGAGATAGCATTTTTTTATAAAATCGCAATGGATATTAATGCGTTCAAACAAAAAAATGGAAGGGGAAGCTTTTTAGAAGTCATTTTTAAATGAATACCGAGAGAATATTCATACGGAATTATCAGCCAGCAAAGTGTACCTACATTTTACCTATATTCATTAAAATAAAAGAGATTTTAAAATATTTCTCACCATTTTTTGACAATCTTTTGGCAATAAATGATATTAAAGAAGCTTTTCCATGCCCACAGAGTCTCAGCTGCCGGGCAAGAATTAAATAAGATTATAATGAGTACTGACAGAGTTCAAACGGCTCTGTGAAATATAAACAGCTGATATTGCGGTAATAATTCAATGGTGTGTTTTTTTATACCCGAAAAATGCGTTAAGATATAAAAATTACAGCTGGAATTTCTTCATGAATTACTTTGAAAATATGTAACTGAGGTAATTTAAAGTCTGCGGTTTATTGCAGATCAGCCACATGTATGGTCTTATCAGGGGAGTATGACAATTGATCGGTCCAACTGTCTCGTCATCTGTTTTTTTGTTGAATTCCAACTCTTAAAATTGCGCTGTAATATTACACCATATTAATGCTTTCCAGTTACAATTTTTCCCGTATTCACTATTCACATTTTTGACAACACCGATCTCATTCTATTCTCAAGATAAAGACCCCTATGGCATGCACGAATGTCATTTGCCCTTGCGCGAAGGGCCACTAATGCAAACCTTGGGTGTTTTGTTAGCTTAAATTTAATCCCATTTGGGTTTTCTAAATCACTGCATATGTCATTTCATCATAAATACAATTGTTTGGACACTTCGTTTATTGCAATAACTTTGAAAGTGAATCCCTTGCGAGGTTACTTAAAATATGGTAAGGGATCGTAATAGCACCACCTAAAGCGGAAGGTGATGACGTTTGTCAATTTAAGAAAATATTGAGTTAAGTAAATATATAAACTACAATAGTCGAAGTGGGTTGGTAGAGTCGATTAATTAATTAGTTCTTAAAAGGAATATTGTGTACATACACTACTTAAGCTTGTACTTGTGCTTAACAGAGCTGGTATGGTTGAAGAAATGAAGCGCTTTCGCGTTCAAACATTTTGGAACATGTGGGTGTGCGATAGACTTACTATCACGTGGTACACGCTGGGCAACGCATACTCATAAGGCAAAAAAGTCTATAAACCGGCAGTTTACTTCTTACTTCAAACTACCATCACCCCACTGTATGTCATATTCGACATCCTTCAAACTACCATCACCCCACTGTATGTCATATTCGACCTCTCAAACTACCATCACCCCACTGTATGTCATATTCGACCCAATACACAGTACTCATCTCAACTTTTTTCTATCTTTTCTACCTTCGTCTTTGAAGCATTCTTCTGTTCCCCCCCCCCTCTTGACTTTTTCACTTTGATGTTCCTTCTACTCTGTGAAGCCTGAAGTCAACTAAAGGGCTAAAGATAACTATCAAGATGCCTGGCATTTGATATAAACAAATAACTTTTTGGAACGTTGCGAGCATAATGCCAATCACACTAAGGAGCTGTTGAAGTCGTGAGTTCAGACTCCTCAGAAATCAATAAGCATGTCATAGTCCGTGCAACCGAAATTGTATACCAATACAGCATTACATGACAGTCTCAGATATAGCTATCGATACCATCAGAGAATTTATGAAACAGTCCAGAATAGTTTCCTATTCTTTACTTTCCTACAACATGTACGTGATAAATGAAAGAGTTTAAGATTTATTTGACACACATTAAAAGTCGGTGAGAAACCAAGAATTCAAGAATATATTTTTTCGACACTTTTAAATTACTTACTATTTAAATAAATGAAATAAACCTTTTAATCAACCAGATAGCTAGTGTATTTAAGGGGCTATGTAAACTTGACCCTGTTAGAACCACCTTATCTATCTATCTATCAAATTAGATTTCTTAAGTTATTAATTTTTAAATTAAATATTTCAAATGTCCTATAACTAAGAACAAAAAAATTATCCCAACAATTGATGGGAATCTCAATCTTGACTTATTTCATCAAATGTGATCCACGTTCCCATAGGGTTATCGAGATTGATATCCATTAACAGATACCCCGTAAAACGAATGATCAATCATGAAGTTATGTCAAAATGTAATTTATTCATAAGAGCCTTTTCTGATTACCCTCCCTCTCTCCAAGTTACTTTATCCTGAAATTAACTTGAGGAGATAAATAAAATAACTTTCATATTGTCTTTATTGTTTAGAGTTTTTCATGGCTACACAATGTAAATAGCTAAAATCAAAGATATTGCGATGATCAAGGAATTAATGAGGGTACATAATGCACCAAGTTAGCCCAACTGGCGATTAGGAAAATTGGTGTCATATTTGGTGGAGTATTCAGACAAAGAAATTGCTCTTGAGTGTTGTCGAAAGCATTTTAAAGAATAAGGAAAGGGATTCGTAATAAAAGTGTCACAGGAAATAGTTTAATGAGGTAATACTTATATCCGGATTCTAGTTGCACGTGACAGGTGCAAAGGGTAGCTTATTAAGTGCTTGATCTCATTGTAAACTATGACTAATTGCGAATACATGCACTATCTAATGATAAATATTGAAAAAAGAATTAAAATCCTATTAATCATTCAAAAACACTTCTAAAATACATTCATAAATCACAACATCGACTAAAACAGCGAATTAACCGAAAGAAATACTCCTAAATCTTTCCGATTTTATATCCGTACGAAAATAATAATCAAGAGGAATAAAAATTTGATTGCAATATTTAATGAAGATGTAAAGATTTTTTGTTTTTTTCGAAATACATTCTTTGAATTGTCGATCGGATTTCACAATCATTGTATTCAATTAAGAATAAACAGTCATCCCAGTCCAAATTGAGACATCTAAAAATTCATAACTGCCAACCAAAATTCGAAAGTCAAATTGCATGAAGAAGGCCAATAATAACATTAAATGAGGTAAGCAGGTGCTTGATATCTGGCTCAAAATTTTAATCCGAAAAAATATTATATAGTTATCTGACCGAAGTAAAAATGATCTCTGTACCTAGTGATCCACTTGAGCAAGCTTCACTTATAATGATGCTTAAAGGTACCTAAACTAATGCTTTGTTGAAACTATTATAGAATGAATTTTGAAAAAATACAAAAGTGCTTATAGCTTCGATCAATTTCTTTCAATATTAACAAAACGTCCCATAAAATAGGCAGTCATTTGAATTAAATTCGTAACCGACTGTGTACATTTCATTGTTCTTAGCGTGGCAGTGGCCAGAGAATGCTAAATTAGTGCACCTTAATGAAGAGTAAATGAAAAATAGGTAAATGAAACGTTCATATGTTGAACATTTCTGCCATAAACGAGAGAATATTAAATAGAATGGGAAATACGGCTTTCATTAGATTTAAATCCACTATCATTAGAATAAAATGAAGATTTAAATATAGCATCATCATCAGTTTCACAATTTTAAGGTCCTCTCACTATTGGTTGCTTTGGCAGACTATTTACTGTCTTCGGCTAACTGGTAGGCTGTTTTATTTAATAAATTAGTCAACGAAGGCTCGTAAATTCTATGTAATGCGCTATTTATAAGTGCGAATAAAGTTTAAATATGGAATTCGGTATTTCAATGCTTTTCTCTATTTGATTTGTTTGCGATTTCCCCATTGATTGCTTCTTCATTTTTAAACAAATAAAAGTGTACAATTTTGGTTAAATTATTCAACTAGACTACTTTTAAATTGGGAAGAATTTCGTTTCTTTTATGTGTTGCTATTTGTAATTTAGTCGATCGGAATGAGCTATGATGGGGGAAGGTCAGTTCGTGGATATCATTCCGACTCTGCAGAGGAAGATGGGTGTATTCCTGAGGCGAACTCTGACGAATCTGAAGAAGATGCAGATGAGGAATTTATTGACGATGACGATACTGACGATGAAGACTGGGATGCTCGCATTGGGTCCTCCAAAGTAATTTTTCTTCTCATAATATCAGTGGTCTTTTTTTAGTTTTCGTGCACTAGCGAGATTCTGCTTTTTTCAGTTAACTTTACCACTTTCTAACGCCAGTTTTTTTGTGTTATAAGGGTGTAACTGCCAATTTTTTCTATTTGACTACTGAATGTGAGAGGTATCTAGATTTCTGTGGACATCTTTTGACTATTAGGAAAAGAACTGACTACTATTTATCAAATTTTGACCATTGTGAACTGAAATATTCATTTAAGTGTATAAAAATCTACCTGAAAGTTTTGGCTTTTAAATAAAATTTTAATTTAGGTATAAAATTACTGTACCTGTAAAAAGAAACATCGAATGTATTATGCAAAATTTGTTTCTTTATTAATAGTATATCTTTATTGTCGGTTATGAGTGTGCATCCATGCTCCTTCACGCGTAAATGATAAATCTGTTTTCTCTTGTATTGTATTCAATCTTATGTAATTTTATCTCATAGAGGAGATGACATCTTTGAAGATCTATAAAATCGTTTTATTATCAAATTTGTAAGTACTTAGCTGGTCCAATTGAAATGTAGCTAGGATGTCTTGTAAATATCACTACTTTTTCAAAATGATTTCATCAGAAATGATGCCTATCTGAACGCACGATAGATTTACATCGATTTATAGCTTAATGTAATTCTACTTTTCATACCTATTTGCTTGAAGCGTAACTAATGGATCGGTTGGTGGTTAAGCTATTCTTTTGAATAGCTTGTTTGATCACATAAATGGTTGATGGTATCATGGAATTTCCTTTGGATTATTATATGACCACGTTTAACTTATCAATTTTCATCCTTTTTCAAACAGCATTCAGTACAAATTCCTACTCTTATGATCGTCTGCGAGAAATTGTTAACAGAGAAACACAAAATAATCATTCATTTAAGAAAAAAAGTGACTTATCATTTTGTCCAAATGTTCTGAAGAGTAGTATTCAACTGTATGTCACATTGAAACAAGCAAATAATATTCCATTATCATCTATGATGTGTCCGTTACTTTATTATTATTCCACTCAAAAATTAGGTCATTTACACCCACTTGATCTGTTTACACTTTTAAAAAACCATGCGCAAATGATCCCTTTGATTCTTCTCTAAATCTGCGGGTCATTAATGCTATATTTTACTTAATTGCCTTTTAAATTGTATTCTAGTTCGATCTTTCTTTTCGTTCCATTTAAGCGTATAAGAGACGACCACAGACATAAACCACCACCTCGTTCACTTCCACGCAAACCCTCAAGTTCGGGTCTCAATTGGCGACTTCGTAAAAATGGTTCTACCAGTAATAAAGCTCAACGCAGACCCCCTCCCAAAGTCGCTTCTCAACCGTCACTGAGCAATTTCTCGGAACAGGATGGACGGCGAAGAGTACGAATCAATGTGCCAGAATCCAGGAAGGAGCCTGAATCGCCGCGTCAGTGTCTCGGGCCTGGATGCACACGCCCTGCTGCGGATTCAACTACCAAGTACTGCTCAAAGCAATGTGGCCTAACATTAGCGCTAAAGTAATATTTATTTTAATACATTCATTTCCTACTTATTACTATATCAGTAGTTGGGCTGAATTTGTTTTATTTAACGATATTTAAATTTTTTGCTCGGTCGAAAATTGTGTTCACGATTTCACAGTTTACTGTTGACTATATAGAATAGAACGAAACCCTAAACTTTCTGACCTTCACACACGCATAATTAATGCACCAATTGCAACTTCTTTTCTCAACATGTAGGTAAATTAGTTTAGTTACGTGCAATATGATTACGTAGATTATGTTTTAGGAGTTATAAAATTAGTAGGCAACTAAACCATTTTGTCGATTCACTTGAACGAAGAATGTGATGTTCATCCCTTATGTATTGGGTTATTTTATTTAGATCCTCCACATTCCGATCTAAAAGGGCATAACATTAACTGTTAACGTCATTGACAATCACTTTAGTCCACATGCCGAGTTTCAATATGAGCAGCAGTGGTTCCTTAACATATTGGATTGGGACTGTTATTGAGTAATAAACAGCCTCTCCTCTTCCTTCGTGCCAAACGAATTCCTACTGTCAAGGCAAAAATCTAGCAAATCCCAATTCTCGCTAAGCTTGTTATTCGAACCGGTCTGCAGCGCCATCAATCATTAGCTACTTTATCGTTCGTTCATCGATTTTTTATGTCTGTCTCCTTTAAAAATGAGCCTATGCTCTCAATAATTAAAAAACATCTTTCTATACTATTCTTGCTATGTTAGAGAGGGGGAGTACGCTGCTAGTTGGTGATTTTGAAGGTAGTTTAAATACCATTTATGATACTCTTCAAATCATTAGGCTAGCTAACTAGTGGGTCGGGCCTCACAATTTTTTTTGCCATATTTCACCATTTCACCACAATGTTAGAATGTTTCAGGGTGACTGCGCCAAGTGCTCTTTTAGTACCTTTTTTTCGGATAAATTCTCATTGTCTCAGGTCATAGTTCTAAGTGTAATTCTTTTTGTATCTATTCAACCGAATATGTGGAAAGGTGACTCTCGCCACCTTTCCAGATCCTATAATTTTCAGCATGTGACAAGTCGGGAAGAAAATAGAGAATATAGCCTAAATATTTTTATTATTCTATTGTCTTATAAAACTAAATGCGCATATGTTGAAGAGTACCAAAAAGGTGGAACAGAAAGAGGAAACTGAATCAAGTTGCGAGTGTTTGATCACGGAAAATACTATCTAACGCGTATTGTGAGGTCTGACTTTCATCACACGAAATGGTGACTTGGTTTTAGCGGTCCACTCACTTATGACATGCACGTTGGTTGTGTCCAGTTAGATCCAACAAAATGTTCTTGTAAAACTTCTTGGACTAGATTGAAATTTGCTGTCATGTCAGCAAGGATATTGAGCACCTACATGTGCCTGTCATGCTCTTGTCGACTTCGATATGCCAATTGTAAATTATGTGTAAGGAGCAGAGTCCAAATAGGTCTTCACCAAGGAATATCTTATAGTGGGGTGTGCGGTTGACTTACCTCCACGTGTTGCACCCTGGGCAACGTATTCTCATATGGCAAAAAAATCTATAAATCGGCAGTTGACTTCTGACTTCAAATTACCATGGCCTGACTGTATACCATATTCTACCACTTTCACAGTACTCATCTTACCTTCTTCTCTACCTTTGTGTCTGTATCTTTTACATCTGCGGATCACTCTTCTGTTCCCTCTCTCGACTTTTTGTGACTTTGATGTTCCTCCTCTCTTTGAGGCCCAAAGTCAGCTAAAGAGCCATGATAACTGTCAAAATGCCTGCCGTTTGATATAAATAAATATCTTATAGTCAATAAAAGCTAATATGAGTGGGCATAGAATCTGTGAATTTATGAAAGGTAGTGTATGATATTGCCCGATTGTTATTTTCCTCCCAAGCATCACAGAGTATTAGCTGAGTATATCTCATATTCTAACCTTTGACCGCTGTTCTCCATTGCTAACTTTCGTTCATGCCTGTCAGTGGTCTTAGTGACTTCGGTTAAAGCATCGTTTGTTGTGACTTTTTTGGCGAATTAATGAATAACGCTGAATATATTCCAAAATGTAGAATATCTCAACCATCATTAGCCACTAGGTTATTAATCCCTGTTAATCCACACCATTAATGTCCAGTTATGCTCCTCACTAATTTTCTATCCTTAAAGCACCCCATCTTTACTCCACAGTGTCATTTTGTAGATTTGCAATTCAGTCAATTACTTAGTGCAAATCAAGCTATCTTACTTAAAATAATACCCACTTGTTAGGTAGCTAACTGCAAATCGATTCCCCACACTTGTCTCTGTTTATATGCCAACTTTGTTTGTGCATCGGTGTTGACCTTAAGACAGCATTTTCAGTAAGGCCATTTCATTTATGCCCTAATCGCAAAATAGAGGGTGGGGATATTGGGATTCTGTTTTTATCTTTTCTACCTGCTGAAATTTAGGGAACATATTTGAAACCTCTCTTAATGCCAAGTTTTGTCGCTGTCCGAACTGCCATCCATAACTGATAATCAATTTATAGGATATGATGCTATTTTTTTTTAAATTTAATTAAATTAATGATCAGTCAGTGTATAATCTTAATTAGAGACTTGGTTTAAAGCCGTAGTGATAATTGCTTGGACCTCAGTTCTTTGCACTTTCAATTTTATCCGCTTTACTGTGCTTCGGTGAATAGTTTTATTACTGTTTCGTTTATTTAGTTTTAAATCTCACAATAATTGTTTCTTTTTTGTATGTGAAATTTATGTCTAACCTAGCGTTATAATTGCATTCTTTGTCTTACTTAGGGCAAGGGGTATATTTAACCCCGAGTCAAGACAAAAACAATCAATGATCATTAAATGGCTTTATTGATTGTTACTTGTGGTAGCGATTGGCTGGCTCTTTGGCGTGCATTCGAGTATATTTGCTAATTTGCAGAGTTATCTTCTATTATCTAGGAAGACATTGGAAACGCAAGCGAATGGCTGTGGATGAAGTGTGGATCCACTTAGAAAACGTGGGAACATGAGATACTTCAGTTTCCTGTCGAATATTATGAGACTTAGGGTCAAAACCATCGGAATTTTAAAGGTTTGCGTCGCCGGATTTCTATGAGCTCAACCACAGCGTCCCCTTAAAATGAAAAGTCTTCCTGACGGCTTTTAGTAGTAGGCAACCGCATTTTCCCATCATGATTTTTGAGTGCATCAAAATATTATTGTACAAAAGGGATTGAAATTAGGTAAAAATCTTTTCTCTACACATACTGAAACTGTTTTTTTTTTGCTCTTCAAAAATGGATAATTCCACTCAGAAAGGGCTCATCTTATTCGCCTTTTTTTCACCTTCTGAATTTGAAGCTTCCATGAATAGCGTAGTACTGGCCTCTACTTCTCTTATATTCTTCTGGTACTGAAGTGAACTTTTTTGCTTTGGCCAACCACTTTTACTGAAAGAGGGTACGAGCTTACTCTCGGATCCTCGTGCGTTCACATTATAGTTTCGTAAATTGTTCCACCTTATTAATGGCTTTGTCACGATTTACTGGAATTAAGGGCATTCAGTGTATTTTTATGCCGACAATTCCATGGAGTTTGCAAACACCTAGAAATTGGCTCTTATCTTTTGGAAAAGTTAGAGTGACGTTAGTGTAATAAAATGGTCTTGTAGGCGCTTGGAACGTTACCTCCCCGAAGCCCGAGCCTCTTGGTACAGCGATCCTTCAGGCATTGTACTTGAATCTGAGGCTGACTGGACAGACCGCGAGCGACTGAAAGAGGTTCGTGCAGAGCGCAACGCCATTATCAAACGACTTATTGAATTGGAGAATCAACTTGGCGACTTGAATAATCTTATTATGCGAGCCCACAACTCCAAGTCCCTCCTCACCTCCTCAGAAATTGTAAGTGCTAATTTCTCCCCTGTCTTTTTTACACGCCAACACCTTTAAGGTAATTGCATTTACATGTTGCCATCACTTTCTACCTGCATTCTTTTGTTTGAAATCTGCTTAGTGAGGTAGAATGGTAGGGTTTTTCACTCAGTTCCTTACTTCAGCAGCTTTGCGGACGTTTTTGTCCTAAAATGTTTCTTTCACTGTCCGTCGCTTCATTATTCCCCGTCTTCTCACTAAGCTTTTAGTTTTGAAATTTACTTTTATTGGTGTGGTTATCTACGATACTGAGCTGAGATGAAATCTCTGACCTCTTCCGTTGCGCCTATTTCAATGAAATGCTCTTTCAAAAAGTCGTATTTTTTTCGCATGAAGATTCTTTTAAAACCCTCTCTTATCGTTTGAATAAAATAGGTATCGCCACTCTAAGACAATCTGAGATGTCAGTAGGAGTTTCAGATTCAGGGATATCTCGAGTGAAAGCGAGCGTTCGAAATTGGTTTCTGAGAGTGATTTTTCCCATTTGGGCTCGCTGAAGAGTACTTGGCGTCATTTTTATTTCGATCGATGTTTTATGCCTTTCAATCCTGCCTTTAGCATCGTGTTCTCTTATTTGTTTGTATAGGTCTTCATCTTAAATAATTGTCCAAAATCTATTCATAGTTCTCTAACTAATTTATTCCGCTTTCATGTGCACATCCGCCTTTGTGAATGCTCAAGAACTTTTCACATTTTTCACAGTCTCGGTGGCATTTGCAAATCAGTTGTTCTGGCGCAAAGGTGGTGATGACTCGTTAGATAATTCATGGTCAAATCTCTCTAAATAGACCAGGAACTGCCATGCAAAAGAAATTTATAAGTACCATTATCGAGCATATGCGATGGAAACCTCCTAGTGTAATATTCTTCTTTTCTTTGAAAAGCATTGAATAGTAATTAAACATTAAATTTCAAATGTACCTGTTAATTATATTTGATAATATTTGGTATTAGTTTATCGTGGTAAATAGTTTTTTATCACAAATTAATTATTTAAAACTTTCTGGGAACTTATACTTCACATAGTTTTATTGCGTGGTTTAAGTGCAATAGTTCATCTAGTAAATTTAAACGTGAAACAAGTGGAGCGTCTTTCTGCTCTTCTAATTGGTAGCCTTGGCGTTCAACTTGCCACGCTAATTCATGCGCTCACTTTGTGCGCAGATGTCGAGGCTTGGTTTTGCTCTTCTCATAAAGCCGCGTTGATAGTTAATGTGATCTCCACTTCAATGTTGCGGATCGTTTAATAGAAAAAGCTTGCTTGAGAGAGTGAGAGAGAGTGATGCAGTTTCGTTGTGCTGATCAATATTGGCAGATGCCGTTTAGTCAAGATAGTAATATATAGACTCATAATAATATTGGTACTACTCACTGAAAAAAGCATCTGAACGGTGGAAACAGTAAATAGCCGAGAGAGAGAAAGGTTGGTGGAACTTGAAAATCAAATTCGGGTCATTTAATTAATCTTACCGCATTAAAGCTGTGCGGATCGGGAATGCTGTTGCTATAGGTCCCAAATTTTAGGATTTGTTGCACCGTAGTTCCTGATTGAACCCATGTTCACGTTGTGTTCAGAGGTCACACTGCCTAGCAGGTTAATTTTGACGATTGGCCAAGCACATTTTCTCCTTTTGGCCAAGTTGCTGACCTACAGAGGGTGTCCGGTTGCTTTTATTTTAGCTGATAGCTGATTTATGGTACTTTAAAGGTGTTTTTTTTTCAACTCTCTCTCATCTTGAGCATGTAAATGACTTGATGTAACCTCAAGTGGAAATCCCAGATTTTACCCATCTCTATAATTAGTAGATTTCATCAGTATTCGCAGATTATTTAGTTGGAATATGCATGCTAATAAAATTTCTTTTAATATCCGAGGAGGGTTATGTTGATTTAATAAGAAAGTAAAGTAAAATTAAGAGGACTTTTATCTGCAAAGCACACAGCTATTTAAAGCGAGAACATTCTGGAACACGTTCAGTGCCAAATTAGTGATTGAAAGTTTTGCTACCTTTGTCTTATAAAAGGTTTAAAGTTAACTCTAATATTTTACCAAATTCTCAATGGTAATGGTTACGTGAAAGGTACAAATAAATACCCATACGGCACAAAATAGGTGTTCTATGAGTATTCAAGAATATACACAAGGAAGGTAAGAAGTCAACGTAGTATAAATCAATTCCTCTGAGCTCAACGTACAACTTGTCAAGCCTACAATTTCACTGTTATGGCATTTAATTCTCGTTTCAAATACCTACGATTTCGAATAATCACGCAATAATGTATTATACTGCTTTGCATAGATACTTATCCTTGTCAAAGTTCGGCTTTTTCCCCTGTGTGTGTCTCCACATCTGTCATCGCATTCGCAAATTATTGCCAAACACGTTTAGTGCGTTTAGATTTTGAAACGTTTTTTTTCACTTGGAATCGGAAATATTTCCTTTCTGCCATTCATTTTGGCCAAAAGTTAGCTATTCGTTTGGCCAAAGGTGGCACTATATATTGATTTGAAATCAGATTTATTTTTTTCCTGAAAACGAGGGCGTTGGGGAAATTTTTTGCCAGGGTGTTACAATATATGATCAAGTCCGCTTTTATAAGCTTTTCTACACAAATTGATGGGACAGATTATTTTTGGCCTGTCATTGAACCATTTTTTTTGAATGACCCCTTCATGACTTTATCTCCCATGGTTATGGCGTGTTCCCTCGACATGGCGATGTTACAAAATCGATTTTGGTTTCCGGTTTATGGCAAAGGGTTTTTGTGTTTTCGCTTTCATGATGTCGGAAGAAATATTTCTTCATTTCCAAGCCCTTAAAACGAGTTCCTTCGCATTGAAGAGAACGCCATGTCCGGCTAGGCCTCTCTCATTAACTCAAAATCATCCGCAGACAGTACCTTGTCCTCTACGCTACCAGCTCACAGCTACATTATTATTTTGTCCTCAAGTAGTATTTATTTAGCAGATGCGTTATTCACTTTAGGTTATTGGTTCTTCTATTTCTGCTGGACATAATTTAAACGCCAATAGCATGCATGAAGAGAGCGTTTCCTTCTTTAAAGGGGCAATTGTAACTGTTGTGATATGATGACTTGTAGGTAAAATAAACAGAAAATAATAGTTTTCCGTTTGGTAGCCTTACAGAAGGCGAGTGTTATCAGCCTTACTAAAGATACCTTCCACGCTGTTGATGCATAGGATAACAACTTAATACACCCTTGGTTATGTACATTCAGCGGTTCGAATAACTGCATCAGTATATGGGTAGATGATGTTACCTTTTGAAGACTCACGAATACAACTTCTAAATTCGAAAGTTTTGCGGCGCTCATTTAACGATGCCTTGGCCGTTAATATATCAATATCTATCGTCTGCAAGCTGTTTTACACTAAATCAAATTAGCAAAAAAATTGCACAAGATAACGCGAAACTTGTTAGTTTATCTGCATGTAAAATGAGTTGTGAGTTTTCACGTGTTACGATTAATTGCAACACAAGCAGTAAAATATCGGGGGAGTAAATTCCACTCATTATACAACGTCACCAAGATAAATGGAGTGGGTTTCGATAGCGTATCAAAGTTCATGTTGCACTTAACATTCGATAGTAAGTGTTTGAATATAAGCGTATGTACTTGGGGCTTAGTAGCTTCTAATCGGCGCAATACTCTTATGACTCTGACTGATTCCGCTCGTCACTTTTCACAGTGACCTTGGTAATCGTCACTTTCTGCGTTTGACGCTGCCCATCATATATTTCGGATACTTGCTAATTTTATGCAGTAGACTAAATACCAAACACTCTTCCAACTTCTGACAACTTTGGGAAAATCGGAACCTGTTTGGCCATTCCACTCTATCCGTACTAATTCCTTGTAGTTAATTCTTCATTTTATTATTTATTTCAACAAAGGTGAATCCGGAAAAATCTGTCAATGTGGATCAAGGCTATTCCACCATTCCGCGTCTTTACAATTTTAGAATCGAACTGTTCTTATTACCTGCATATTCTCTCTGCCCTCTGTATTATTATCTTCGTTCCAAGCCTACCAAGTTGTTATTGTTCTAATAAGTCCCTTGCAAAACTATAGCCATTTGATCGCGTTATCGTCTTTTTACACAACTCAGCTAAGTATTCATGGTCAATGTCTTTTCCTCCATCTATTAACCATCATTAGTGTATTTTAAGTTGTCTAAACTATTTTCCTGTGTTTGTGGTAATCTTTTGAATGTCCCCCTTGTGCAATCTATCTCTTTTTTCAATGCTTTATTTATTTCAAATGGCAGGCTTTATGTTAGTTATCATTAACCCTTTAGCTGACTTCGGACTGAACAGAGGGGAGGAACATCAAAGTGACAAAAATAGAGAGGGGGGACAGAATAATGATTCACAGATACAAAAGACACAGACAGACACAAAGGCAGAGAAAGGGTAAGATGAGTATTGTGGAAGGGGTCGAATATGACATACAGTGGGGTCACGGTAGTTTGAAGTCAGAAGTCAACTGACGGTTTATAGATTTTTTGCCGTATGAACATACGTTGCCCAGGGTGCACCACATGGAGGTAAGTCTATCGCACACCCCATTTTTTCAATCCCTTGAAAATCTATAAAAAGTCCATTGAGCAAACGTCAGGGCCTCACATTTTGCCATAGTTGTTCTTATATGCATGTTGTCGGAAGTTCGTTTATTTATGAAGAAGTTGAAAAGATCAATGAAACCATCAGGTTTGAGAAGATTGAGGTTAGCTGAATTGATTGAAGTCAGGATATAATATTTTCGTCACCACTAGCAGAAGACATGAGAATTCTGTGGACAGAATCCGCCCCTCTAGTACTCTCTGGATTTTCTGAAAATCCACCCAGGGCGGTTAAACGGAAACTTCCATTTCATGAAAACCAAATAACCGCTTACCGAATAAGCGCCCATAGGCGGTAATACAGAAGTGAAATGTTTCACCTAAGAGCATGCATATATATAATTGGAAGAGAAGTTGCAGCTTATCTCTCCTTCCTCCGTGTTAGAAATACCACAGCCATTGCATACTTCAATTGGCAGTCTAAATTAAGTCAGCTATTACAAGAAATTATATTAGTGACGTCGCACCTATTTTTTATTAGTAATTACTCCCATGTTTTCCTAAACTTGTCTGGATTGGAAGAAAAGCGTCTTGAATGGGGGTCCCTTTCTACCCCCTACCCCCCATGAGTCAAAGATGTGGGTATGGCCATTCCGTTCACCGGATGCGCGCTGCTGAGCATCGAATCTGTGAATTTTGAATACCCTGTCAATTGTTACCTAATCACACCTCACTTGAGAATCTAATTTGGAATTTCCTAAAAATTTTCGTATACAGGTTGGGATCACGTTTTCTGAACCGATATTTGATCATGTCTTTCCCTTGTTCTAATGTTACCTTCTCATTCGTCTAATTTGCTTTATTGTTCCAACTGTAGGCAGCCTCTGCGTCTGCTGACAAAGCCGATGGCGAATCAGCTGAACCGGTTGTTTGTGTCACCTGCTCTTCAGAAGTCAATATGCGTCAGGCTCTTCGACACATGGATAAGTGTTTTCAAAAGGTGCGTTTTTTCTGTCCTGCCACTGTTTACGGCTTGTGTTAGGAAATAAGTTTGCTTTATTAGAGGTATCTTTTCTGTGGTTCTTGTAAAATGTGTTGTTTACAAGTGTTTTAGTGTACTGTGTATCCCTGATGGTTTATGTTCGTAAATATGCATAAAATTGAATAACATAATTGCATGTAAGTATCGATAACTAAATGTGTGCTTTTTTATATTTATGTTCGGTAATTTATAGTCGGATCAAGCTGGAAATTATTATCATTAGGTTATCTAATCAACTTATTCACGACGAATTGATCAATTATTGAGAAAATATATTCAAATTTACCACCCATCTTCATTATTTGCGGAGATCAGTGAATGGGTTCTTGTAGTAAACTTCGGATCAATAATTTCACTACTTCCACCCAGTTGATCTTGTGACTTCATTATCGTCGAAGTAGTATGAAAATTAATATGAACTCGTGCTTAGTTTAATTATTTAAATAGACTTTGTCACAGTATTTCCTTGCTAACTTATTTCTGAATTATGAATGAAAATAACTCCCAAGCTCATTTAGAAAAGCTCTTCTTGGTCAGAGTTGATCTCACGGAGCCTCCCTGGTGGTTGGTTCGAAGTCTGCCTTCCTCTATGTTATCCAAACTTCATCGATGCTGTTGACTACTTAACTTACCCCGTTGCAGTCGTGCACAGTGGTCGGTGGGCCATCATCACACTCGGCATTCCATTTTGAAAATAGCTTTTCATATTCCCATTTTAGAAGGATGATTATTTATCCATTTTTTCTGCCTTAAAAAAGGTTAGCAATATTGCATCACTTTGACACGTTGTCGGTTGTTTATTGTAATATCTCGTATAGATAAGACAAGCAATCTGCACGAATTCTTATTTTATTCTGGTCATTCACTAGGGTCTATTTATCAAAGGTAACAACCATATGATCTTAATTGAGGTGGCGACGATCTGATTTCTCCCTCGTTTCACCTACGAGTCCACTAACAGCTAATTTCCATTGGTTCCCGTGGAGCAAATTTTCTACACTGTGGTATTATTTTTAGTTGCAAATATTCATTATTGAGATTGACTTTTTAAATTGCCCTCGCGTTTGAACTCTAACTTAAAATGTAACTTACTAGGTGGATTATAATTGTGGGAATTTTCCAAACCATTTGTACTTCTATGACGAAAATGAATTGGATTATTAAGCGTAACCGTTGGTGTTTTAAACAAAAAAAAACAAGTTTTATTATCGTATACGCAGTATTCGCATTTACTTTTTTATGTATATGTATTCTTTCCAATCAATCTGTTGTAAATTATAACTGACTTACAGAGTGATTTAGAAGCACCTCTCTACTCTTAGAACGAAAAAAATGTTTTTTTTTAACGAAAGTTAACATGAGGTCATATGGGAAATTCAAATTCCTTATACGCACCCGCCTGTACCTTCTTGTACCTCTCGGCACCTCATTACAAAACCTGTTGTCTCAAGTTGTGCGAGACATTTCTAAACATTTTGCGTCAGTCGATGCATGCTAATCAAGAGGAGGCCTTATATGGCAATGGAAGTCGTCTTAATGTGTTCTGGAATCGGAGATCCAGGCACACGAGTAGCTGTCACGGTATACGAATTTGAATCGTTCCCATATTGATAAGGATGTCAGGTACCTTAGCGACAGCCCATGAAATTTATTATCTCGAGGAAAAGTAGCAACTCAGTGTTTATTGTCTTTGTTTTGACTGCATCCCGTCACTTTCAATCATGGCATGCATTTAGGACCTTAAATAAATACCGGTTTCCATTCACACGCACTGTATTCACACAAAACCTCTTATTTTACCCGCTTTGTATGTACGGTTTGGTGTCGACATGTGACTCATTTGAAAAGCGTTTTCGTTTCAATAGTGTGTGTGTGTGTGTGTGCTTAAGGCTGTTATCACGCAAATAATTACATATTGATTGTAATTTAGGTGATAAATTCTGTTTTGTGCCCTTGCATTGTTAATCTCCACTACCTCTTTGCCAGCAATCTTTAGAGTTCTACATTCAATTGAGCATACGCTATGGAATTTGGCATTATTCAAGGCAGCAATCTATTTCAGTGGTGTGCTTGTTCCTTTGATGATTGTCACTCACATGGTTACTCAGTGGTTGAGATTCAAAAGGAGAGGTAATCACCTGATTTTCACTCTCAGGCAAATAGAATGTGCACTACAAAATGTATGCTGCCATCTTCATTGAGAAATAACTGGATTTCAGTAGCGTCTGCATAAGGCAGGTTTTCATTCACACATGATTGCTCACCAGATGAGATGTATATGGTGTGATAGATAAGCATTGCATGTGTATCATTGATTTTGCAATTGATTAACTAACCGAAACCATATCGTAATGTTTAATGTGTTTGAACTTTATAGGAGGCAATGAGCACCTGTATGTGTGTGTGTGTGCGTGTGTGAATGTGCATGCATGGGTGGGGTGAATGAACACATGGCGAGTGCATGATCATTTCTGCGCACACCGATGCCATTCCCTGCTGTGCAGGGCATTGCAATTCATTCTATCGACCACAATTTTCTGTCTTGTTTAAGGGAGCCCATTGCACCTATCCGATAATCTACTACTGGTAGACTGGGATAAATATTAGTAAAATTTTTCGTCTAACTGGAGCTCATAGATTTGAAGAAGTGTAATACAATGCGATTCTACCATCATACATAGTTGATAGGCAAAGACCAGAGCTTAACAAGGCGACCGCAGATTTATTGGTCGACAATATATGGAATGAAGGGCCAACGGAGGGAAGTAATAAAATGATCAAGTGTAAAAAAGGCGGGCATCGATCTCGACTCATAATTTTGGCTCTGACCAGAAGTGAAAAGCCAATCGTCGATAAGTGGGTATAACTTTTAAGTGTGCTCACTTTACAATACCCTCCAAGTGCATTTTCATGGTTATTTTTTCAACCTTCCTGTTATTAATTCGTTATAATCAAATTGTGTTTAAAGATAATTTTTTATATCAAATGGCAGGCGTTATGATAGGTATCATTAGCCCTTTAGTTGACTTCAGGGATCACAGAGGGGAAGGAACATCAAAGTGAAAAAAGTCGAGAGGGAGGAACAGAAGAGTGTTTCGAAGATGTAAAAGAGACAGACGGACAGACACAAAGGCAGAGAAAAGGTAAGATGAGTACTGTGGAAGTGGTCGAATATGACATACAGTGGGGGGTGATGGTAGTTTGAAGTGAGAAGTCAAAAACCGGTTAATAGACATTTTTTTGCCGTATGCGTATACGTTGCCCAGGTTGCATCATGTGGAGGTAAGTCTATCGCACACCCCGTGTTTACGGATATAAGGGGAGCAAAAAGCTCGTATTTGTGCATTCTTAAGGAGCTGAGGATGGCACTAGTTGAAACAATCATCGGAAGGATGATTGGTTAACACGAATTCTCAGTGTAAGCATTAGAGTATCGGTAGGTTATTCTACAATTGTCGGATCTTTCTGCCTTGAGACATTGCTTTTACGCTCTACGAAGCAATATCCCAGCTGTTTAGAAAGCTAAACACGAGTTCTTGTTGTTTTATAGCGAAAAGGTTTTGCAAATCAATTCGAACTTAGATAAAATGCGTAATTAGTCTTTGGAAAAACAAGTACTTGTTAGTCAAAATTTTCCATAAGGTCAGGAGGAAATCATAACTCAAAGTATTTATTTCGCCAAGGGATAAGTTGAATAATTATATGCATAATTATTTTTCATTCACCTTAAATCGCGCGATAATTTGCTATTCATCATATTTATTTATTTATCTCAAATGGCAGGCGTTTTGATAGTAATCATTAGCCCCTTAACCGACTTCGGGCTTCACAGAGAGAAGAAGGAACATCAAAGTGACAAAATGTCGAGCCGGGGGGGGGGGACAGAATAGCGATTAACAGATGTGAAGGAGACAGATACACAAAGGTAGAGAAGAAGGTAAGGTGAGTACTGTGAAAGGGATCGAATATGACAAGTAGTCGGGCCGTAGTAGTTTGAAGCCAGAAGTCAACTGCCGGTTTATAGACTTTGCCGTTTAAGTATGCGTTACCCGTTGTGCACCACGTGGCGGTAAGTCTATCGCACACCCCTGCTATTCATCATCGTGAGAAATTAACTGAAACTGAAGCCAGTTGGGAGGTGAGGGGGGGGGGGTCGATAGAGGTGAAGGAGCTGTTGAGTGAAGTTTTCAGTTATCATTTCGATTCGGGTTTTACCTTTTTTGCCTAAGTATTAATTCATGTTCCAAAATCCATGCTGCATGATTCATTCTCAAAAGAGCTATTCTCATCATTTTCTTGTTCCCTACGTTCAGCGCTTTTAGTGACTGGCTCTACTACTTCAATTCTATTTTTTTTTCCCAAGGTGGGGAGTCCATGATAAACTAAGATGGCAAAGTTGACCTTGGTTTATTCTTCCTCTAGTTGATTTGAAAATTTGGGGTCTTCTTTGATTTCAAAGATTGGCTACTCTCTCTCTCTCATTGTGTTTCTTTCATCATTTATCTCCTTCCAAATGTTCATCTACACCCTTTTAAAAGCGGTGGCGTTTGTGTGTGTATGTGTGGGTGGGTGGGTGTGTGGGGGGTTTGCAGAGTTAAATTAACTTCGACGCATTAGGGTGATTGGCACTGAGGTGTGGCGAAAATGTTCTACTACTGCTAGTGCTTTTTTTAAATGCGCACTGAGCTAATTCGAAGTCCGAGAAAACGCCGCCTAGTTTTATATTGTGCGAGCACTGGCAGCAATTAATCTTGTAATATTTTTTGTAGAAAATTTTCAAATACCCGAAATGCTTGTGGTTAAAGGTGGGAGGCGTATGCGGCGGGGAGGGTAGGGTGTGTGTGTGTGTGTGTGACTTGGAATGCGAGGTATTTCGATAGGAATTGGCAAAATTAGACGAATTTACTGCTTCGATTAATTTCAGGAAAAGTCTTTCTCGTTTTTTTTTACTATTTAAATGTAGATCTAGGTGGAACAATGTAATGCTTACCTCTTCTAATCATTGGCTTACTTTTCTCTGTTAATTAGACTGGAAACTAATTTTAAAAAATCTTAGTTTTATAAAGTTTGAGATAGACAGATGAAGAAGTAATTGAAAATGTAGATATATTTTTGCGTATTTCTCTCTCACAGAAAAATTGTCATTTCACGTTGTAAGCTTTTATTGTCAAATATTTCCATCTTGCCTACGGTTTCGAAAATATCAATACGAACTTTAATAAGGTGTCATTTATAAAAAAAAGCAAATCAAATGAATTTGTTGCGGAGTTCGTGATCACATTTAGTATACCTCTTAAGTGTTGGGGGGGGGGGGGGGATGGAGTAGTTTTCTTTGGCCTCGCTATGCAAAAGGACATTTATAAACTTATATTATTAGTTTGGCTTCACATATTTTTAGGTTGAGAGTGCATCACTGCTCTGCTCGAACATTCGAGAACAATCTCGTGGAACACCACTCTTCTGTGACGCATATGACTCCCGCGCCAAAGCCTACTGCAAGCGTCTACGGGCTGTGTGTGAACATGTGAAGGAGCCAAAGTACCCTGCCGATGCAATATGTGGATTCCCTCTGGTACAAGATGTCTTCACTCCCACTGAACGCTTCTGCTGTACGCCAAGATTAAAGTGTTCTCTCCACTTTGGTTGGGAAAGAAAGAAACGCGCCAATATTGATATGAAACGGTATAGGCAGGTGAGTCAATAGTATGGGGGACATCCTTTCACTAAATTACTTGCCATCTGTTGCTCGTAACAAGAAGTTAATAAAGTAAACTTCCACTAAACTGAGGCTTTAGAAACTAGTTTGATAGTAAGATGGACAGTGGAATGTTTTTCATTAGAGGGTCCTTTGGGTGAATGTTGAGTATGCTGTTCTGTAAAATTAAAGTTCGTGAATTCGATATCTATCCGTGGAAACTCATCGAAGTGATCAAGTCTGGCTAACTGAGGGGGTGGTGGAAATCAGGTTTCTCACCAGGGTGATCACGTAATGCTACTCCTCTACTCGAGATGCGTGAACTCAGGGGAATGAAGAAGATGATAGAAAAGGTGGATTTAAGTATATAAGTTGGGAAAAAGAGCCTAAAAGTTTTCTAATATGAAATTTTCCCCCCATTTTTTTAGCTCCTTAAGAATGATGAGTTACTTCATGAAGAATCAAGATTGATTCGATCACTATCTCAACGTGCTGGTATCCTTGGAATGATCCTCAATCGCACTGTCGATGAGGAAGCGAAACAAAATGAAGATTTGAAGTGAAGGCAAGATCTTTCAACCACAATGTACATATGTAAATGATGATGAATAAATTCCTATCGAGCCTGTCTATCTTGTTCTATTCGCAAGTAGTAGTAGAAGAGAATGTGCCTCTCTATTACTGCGTAAAGGCGAAACTCCAGGGTCCGGATGGCAAACGTATTAACTGAGTCAGCGAGTCAGTCGTACGAATTTAAACTACTGATTGGGGCACCCCTCGGGCATTGCGGTTGGGAAGATTGAACAGGGAAATTCCATTTACCGAAGGCGGAGGGAGCCAGGGGTTTCACAGTATTTGAAAGGCTCTAGGGCCAAATGCACATGGTCAGGACATGCTGATGAATATGCACCGAAAGCGTATAAGGAAAAAGTGGAGTCTACCACTTTCCTGCTATTTTTTCTTCATTTCAAGAAAAACTTAACTAGCACAAAGTTGAGGTATACTGTATTTAAAAGGATCTGCAAAAGCAGACATTTAATATTTAAACAGATTTATCGGCCAATATTCCACCATTGATGTGATCAGTGAGTAAACATTAGTAATATTTTAAAGAGTAATGCTTAAACTCCGTAGAGCATGATAGCCGTTTGGCTTTTGAGCAGAATTTTGCTGAGTTGTATTTTTGAATATTTTTGGAGGACAGTTTAGAATTTTGATTCTTCAGCTGATTCCCGCTCTCTTACATTTTTAAGTTTAATTACAAAGTAGCTCCATTACTACAAAGCCATATCAGGAAATGTTAAAAATGTATAAAACAATTAATGTAAATGGGAAAAAAATTGAATTCACTCAAATATCAACCGAGAGAAACATTTATAGTTATTTATATCAAGTGGCAGTTGTTTTGATAGTTATTAGCCCTTCAGGCTTCATAGCGGGGAAGGAACATCAGTGAAAAAAATGTCGATGGGAGGGGACAGAAGGGTGCTTCGAAAACGTAAAAGTAGGAAAAAGGTGAGGTGCGTACTGTGAAGTATTCGAATAAGACACACAGCGGGTGATGGTAGTTTGAAGTGAGAAGTCAACTGCCAGTTAATAGACTTTATTGCCGTTGCCTACGATGGAGGTTTATCTATCGCACACTCTCACAGGAGAAACATAGGGCAACACTGCGTAGACTAGAATATCCCACTCCTTAAAAATCTGTTCGATAGACCAATTCTTTGCTACTTGAAGCCACAAAATCGACACCGATAAACAGAACGGTACATAGAGCTTAGACCCAATTTAATAACAAAAAACAACACCAAAAGAAAAATCTGTGAATATGACATCCTTTAATGAACGGAAAAACTAAAACTTGTAAAATTATATCGCATCAATATCCAGTTCATCATCACTCTCTTCCTGATCATCCTGACCATTTGGAGAAGCAGAGACTGGATTAGAGGGGACTTGGGGATCGTTACCATTCTCTTCTTTATCCTCACTTTCACCCTCATCAGATTCTTCCTCGGCAGTCTTGAGCCAAGTCAAAAAGGGCTCGCACGCCTTGTTAAACCTGGGAACCATTGGCTTGGAAACGTACCTTTTCGCCAGCTAAATAAGAAATCAAAAATAATTCAAAACAAATACACCTTACATTTTTGTCAAACCAAGTGAAGATAGTTTCCTCCTCAACAATATCATGATCATAAAGTGCATGGATAATGTGAGCTGCCTTTGGAAACAAAACCTTTTCATGCTTCTCAACCAGACTTGCCACAACACCGAGCATATATCCTTGAGCCTTCGGTTTTTCTTCACCGTAACGGGTAAACTGTATTAAAACTGGCTTATACTTTTTGATGTCCTCGATGACGGTTTTTGGATCAGACAACAGGACCTCCCCAACAATTAAAACTGCTCTGGTGCCCAAATTTAAACGTAACGCCTCGTTCCTCAATTCAGTTCCTCGCTTCGAAACATCGTTATTTTGTTTATAACCCGATATAAGTTTGAAGAAGATGTCTGCTCTTTCGCTATCTGGCTTATCAACATCTGCGCTGACAGTCAGATACTTAACCATATCAGATAGTTCAGCATAGCGTTGCTTCTGTGCCTCCTCAGTTGTATCTTCACCCCAGTCTACATCATCATCATCGGACGGACTTTGACTATCACCAGTGCCATTTTGCTCGTCTGCATCGCCATTTGCTTGGCCATTGCCACCATTCTTAGCAGCCGACTTTTTGCCTTTTTTGTCAGATGTTGTTCCACTATCTTCAGGTGGATTTTTGATAATGAATTGTGTCAAACGGTGACGAGGATCGAGCTGATCGCGATGACCACAAGCAGCACAAGTCGTAGTGACAATAGCAGCTTTAGGCTTAACGTGAAGCGTTGTTTCCGGATTACCACAGTTTGAACACAAAACAAATTTTTTTATGAAACCAAACAGATGTTCTTGAAGACGACTTGCGTCATGAGCACCGTTGACAATATATCGGTCGTTTTTCTCATCAACATGAATTTGAGTGCCCAATTCGCAGCCAAAATATTTAGTTACATCTAAATATGATTAGTAGAAAGCGAAATTGACTTACATATCGGTTTCCGGTAAAGACACTTGGCAATCTCCGTTACGTTGACAATCACCGTTTTGATACCATTCCCCTTTCCTTCGACTTTAGCCGCGAGGACGGGCATCTTGTACCGGTAAAAAGCATCGGATACACTTTGATTGATATTGAGTTCCATTTTTTATGACAAAACCTTTCATTCGATTTCGAATTATTATAGGCTTCAACCATGAAATGTTGAGCTGAAGATAGGCAAAAATTAGGTAAAGAAAAGTAAGTAACCAGCAGCACGCTTACACAACTGCAAAGTGGCAACTAAAACCGAAAACAGCAGCGTTTGGATTATAGTCAATTAAACAAATTCTGCAAAATAAGTAAAAATTAATTTATAGCAGTGATATAATGTTTGAATAAAAGTTTATGTTGCTTTTATTCATCAAAAATCTTAATTTTTATACATTTGAAAGTGGTTATCAATACTATGCAAATATTAGGTATTTAATTAAGTCCAAAGATAGACAAGTTTTCATAACACAATTAATGTGCTTTTATCTATGGCATACTAATATTGTAATTTAAATTGAAAAGTTTGCCAAATTACAAGATTGAAATTGAAAAATGTAGCGAATTTATGCAGTCAGTTTATCAATTGTATTGCAAAATACAAGTAGACTAACTTCAAATTGGTTTCGAATGCAATGAATGAATGAATGGTTCGGCAGGGGGGATTCATCGCGCTTTATTCTAAATTCTCAGTAGCACTTAAGACTTTCATACCAAGTAGGTCGAGCCAAGCGAACATATGTGTATTTTGAAAGTTTATTTGAAAAACTATATGGCGCATATATTGCAGAGTTCTATAAAAGACGGGTAGGCCGAGTACATCAGAACCAAAATTAATATTTTACGGAGTAAAAATGAGTCGGTTAATAGGAAATTTTATTTTCGGAAATTACGTATGCTCAAATGCACCCAAGTAAAAAATTCATGCTTCATAAAATCTTTGTTTTGGCAACACGTCCTTTTGCGCAGTTTATGTAAAGCTCATTAGCACTGAAACACTAGAAAAAATGGAGTCAAGTAACATTTTCAATAAGATATTGAATTATTTATGCCGAAATTAATAAATATTCATTACTCATTATTGCTAACCTCTAAAATTTTTGCTATCACCTCATCTTATGTTTTCTGTGTCCCACGTCTAATTTATTCAATACATTTTTTACTAATAAATGCAAGATCCGCCAAGGTATTCCAATTTTTACGATATTTTAGTGATAAAATTTACTGACTTATTTAATAAATTTTACAGAAATTCTACAATGGAGTTTCAATTATTATTCATCTGTTGAAGTAATTATTCCTAACTCTTAAGAATAAATTTATTCAATGGGTAAATTTTCGGATAATAGAGTATGCTAATCATTCCCCCTTGATCCATTACTTCTGCAATGCTTTCAAGGTCTGTTTTGCTAAAGAAAAGGTGGATGGTAACATATTTACGAAATGATCTAGAAGAACCTTAAGAAATCTAATTGAAACGGTCAATGGTAAAGTAATTTAATTTCCAACTGAAAGTTCTCTAATGTACTTTCAATTCTGTAGTTCTGTAATTCTAAAAAATCAGTTGAAAGTGGTAAATAGTTGATAAAATTTGTTGTAAATATTACTCTACTTTTGACGGATTGCCTCTACAAATGAATTTAGAAGTGCCAAAAAATTAACTCGTACTTTTTATGAGCATTTGTCGCTGGGAAGCAGTTGGTAAAGCTGCTAAAATCTATAAATTCTTAATATTTGATAATAGTAACTGGTTTGAAAATGATTATGATTAAATTATGCTTGCATACAGTGTGAATGGATTATCTCTGTTAAGCGAATTTTTCGCAAAATGATGGCTGTTTGCAACAGATTTTGATAAATTCACTTAAGTCAAATGTGGGGAATTGAACAAAGTAAAAAATTAATACACGCGGCAATAATATTTGCAACGTGAAAATTAAAATTAAGAGCATCAAATATCAAGCAACTAAGAGGAAATCTTGGCCTTGAACTCTATGGGTTAACTAAAGAATGGCTTTTTTCTTAATATAAAACAGCAGAATTGGTATTAACTTATCTTATCTAAAGTCAGATATAAGTATGACGCCGGAAAATAATCTTGATTTTTCGAATTTTGTGTTTTCGTAATTGACAGTAAATCGTAAAATTCAGCGTTTTTCTTTACAATTTTAAATGATCTCATTTTAAAATTTCATCATTTCATAATGTGTCAATGAATAATAAATGCCTATTAAATTGGGGATGAACAAAATCTTGAATATTCTTCATCCATTTTGATGATCTCTTAAAGCAGAACACACATATATATGAATATAGATTAGTCTTTACATACGAAATCTTTACAATTAATATCATTTGAGCCAAATAGGTGTGTGTGCGTATGTGTTATTCAAGATACAAACTTGATGTTAGTTAAAGTAACAATAGGTTCAATGTCCTTGACATTGAACCATATAAATTAAATGAATCACATCTCGTTTGAACCCTCCCCAAATGCCCGAAGAGTTTCAGATTAAGCATGTGTTGTTTGATCTCGATGGCCTCCTTATAAATTCTGAGAAAATATACACTGAACGTTTATCTGAGTATCTTGCAAGACATGGTAAAGTTTTCACCTATAAGGCTAAATGCCTTATGATGGGACGCAAGCCTATTGAAGCTGCAGAGGCTTTGAAAAAAGAATATGATCTTCCAATGTCGACGGAAGAGGTTCTTGAGGGTTACAGGAAAGAACTTCCCTTAGAAATATGGCACACAGTGTCCCTAATGCCAGGGGCACGAAAACTCATTGAATATTTGTCCAAGAGTTCAATTGGAATGGCTATCGCCACTGGCTCATCCTCATATCAAGTTCCTCACAAAATGTGGGAGTTTAAAGACGTCTGGCAAAAAATTCATCATGTCGTTGCATCTGGTGATGATCCTGAGGTTTGTTCGTTTATCTGTTTCATTGAGCCTTTTTCTAGGTAAAACATGGTAAACCTGCTCCAGATGTATTTGAGGTTGCGCTTTCCCGCTTTAATGACCCTTCAGCAAAAGCTGAGACTACACTGGTCTTTGAAGATGCATGGAATGGAGTGAAAGCTGCTCTTGCAGCGGGGATGTATGTTGTTTGGGTACCAGATGAGAATGAGTGTCCAGGTTTACCCCACGATGCTCCACCTTTTATTACCGACTCAAATGGTGCTCCTCGTATAATACGACTTAAAAGTCTGGAAGAATTCGATCCATCTATCTATGGTCTGCCTGTTCCATTCTGAAAATTTTAATTTTCTGCATAAACCAAACTTTTTTCTTAATCACTGTTTACTCATTTTTACTCTTCTGGAACCCATATTCCCGTCAGATAATCTGGGTTATGCCAATAAAACTGTAATATTTATTTTCATTTTTCTTCTTTCGGTTGGTATATTTATGAATTATTTCGCTTGGTCTCATGACCTAATGCCATTTATCTTTTATTGTTTCTAAGTGATAGCTCCGCAACTCGTACTTACGCTAATTAATTTTGTTCCTTTGAATTTGTAACTACGTTTGAGATTATTAACTGTTTTTGAACTCGTTGAAAGGCAGCATCCTGGAGACGGCACAGGCATTTCTTGAGTAGGTCTATTATTCCCCCCCCCCCCCCACTTGACGCTGAGGCCTGAGTTTTGCCATGTTAGTCGGTATTTTTTAAACATGGACGATTAACACGTGGTGACTTCAAGTTTCCAGCAATGAGCCCTCACATGCTCTTTTTTAAATTGGGTCGGTCCTAATTTCATAGCGCGATAGTGCTTTGATAAGTGTGGACATACTACTGATACCACAGCGACTAAGCCGTTCGGGGGGGGGGGGGGGGGGGGGGGGGCTNCCGTGGGGGGGGGGGGGGGGAGGGGAGGGTAGCTGTTTACAGTTTCGATAGGTTGTTTTCATTCAATATTTTGTTGACAAAATCCGTACAGGAGGTCAGCAGTACTCCCCTTAACTTGCCATTCGCAGTTTACAGTAATTCCATTTCGTGGTATGATAAAGTCGTTTCACCGTTTTAAAGTGGCAATGTATAAAAATTAAACAATTTTGGCATAAGTTGTCAGAGAGAGGCGCCATAACTTCAACATAATTTACCATTTTAACAAGAATTGTTTATGAAGTTAAACGTCTACATATAATTAATGTCTGCAAGTTACCCAATCGCTACAGCCACGACGGCTTTGTCACTGGTGGGTTATTGATAGCTAATTATCTTGGCCATTGTTCAGTTTAGCTCATCCATCGCTATTCTTATTATTTTTGCAACGCTACAAAATGTAGAGAAGGTAAGACCGTAGTGAGTAGGATTTATTTGAATAAGGACTGGAGACCGGACGAGGGAGGTAGCGAAATACTGCAAATGAGAGTGAATGTCACTAACCCGGTGGATGTTTGCAAGAGGTTTTATATTGGTCTCTTTCAGTTCTCGTGGTGCTTACAATGCATTATTTCCAATTCAAAGCTTTGAGGGTAATTGCAATTTCAGGAAAAATGGATCAATTTGATCACCAAAATATTTTCCCGAATGATAGTCAAGATGACAGGGGCGGTGTGAGTCCCCTCATTGGAAAAGAATGGCCGCAGACTTTGTGTCTGCCTGCGGGAAGTAGATTTTTCAGCCCCAATAAAAAGGGAAGGACTCGAAGAATCGTGTTATTTTAGCTTTTGCTAATGAATCAATCACTAATTTCGGGTTGTCATTTTGAACGGTATTAGTCCCTAATTATAGAAATGGACGTTGTGCAAAAGACACATATCGAAAATCTTAGGCAGATTGCCCAAAAAGAGCTACGAAGCTTTGAAACATGCCTAACTTTTAATGCTGAATTAGTTTCAATACGCATCAATAAATGAGAACGAAATCGTAGTCTTGTTTAGATGCTTTTTACCACAAACAGAAATCATAGAGGATTGGTAGTGCTATAGCAGATACTACACAAGTAAATCTTGACTGATTCTTAACAATCGCCATAGCAACTTACCTTAGTATGAAATCGTTCCCGAAATTATCTAAGGTGCCTCAAACACCATCGAGGAAGCAGCGCGTATGAAGTGAAAATAAAGTTTACTGTTGATATGTCACTGCAACAGACCTTAATTGAGAAAATAGACTAAAGGATTTATTAAACAAAGTAGTGATAATTGATTGTTGATTGGCCAACAACCGGAACGCTAGAGCGCGCATAGGGTTCCTTGGTTTAGCCGAGTTCGTGTTGTGTTCTTCACAGACCCATGGTTGCTGTTGGCAAAAAGACATTTAAACATTTCACTGCTCATATGTGCGTCAGAAGTAACCATTTGGTTCAAGTAGGGATAAAATAGAGGCGCATACTTTTGATTTTTTCTATTTTTGTTTTAATAATAAAATATGCTCAATTGATTAAGAATGTACTTGTTTTCAATCGATTGAATATTTACAACCACTTGGGAACCTTACATTGTGTATTTGCGCAAAATTGTAGAAACGTAGTGACGTTTACACTTTTAACGACTTCCCTTTGAGTCATGATAGTTTAACGAAGTAATTTCGTGATTTTAATAAATACAAGGAATAATCTGCATTATGACGTTTCGATGTATTTGAAGGCGTTAGAAATTAAGTTAAGAACTAAGCATCCGCTAAAGAAGAGTAAAATTTTACATTATTAATCATTTACGCATCAAAATTTTTGTATTCGATGTAATTAAATTGGTTCAGATATCAGTTTGCTAAATACATAAAATGGAGCAGAACCATTTGTTCTCTTATATTGTCCTTCCAAGGTGATATTATTGCCAATAAAAAAGCGAATTCGTCGGAAAAGTTACCACCTACTTGATAGAATGCATAAATATAGTAAATTGGGTTAGATTGAGCTTAATGCAGCTAAAAATATTCCGTTTGCGCACACACCAGATATTACTTACATTTTGCTGAACAATCAGATTTTTCATAGAGACAAGCACAAAGGTAGAGAAGAGGTTAGATGAGGTGAGCAAAGTTGAAGTGGTTGAATAGGGCAAACAGTCAGGTCATGGCAGTTTAAAGTCGGAATTCAACTGCTGGTATATAGGCTTTTGTTGCTGTATGGGTATACGTTGCCCAGGGTGCACCACGTGGAGGTAAGTCTATAAAGCACACCGTACCAGTTAATGTAGGGGGCAACGTTTACAATTTTGCTGATTTTGATGAACGAGCAAGTACCTAAAACTAATCATATGTAAAAAACTTAGACGACACTGCAATCAACATTGCCTTATTATTATATGAAAAACTAATTAATTGAATAGGAATGGATAGTCCATAAATTTTAAATTGAAATCCAAATAACGACTCATATGTTAAGGAACATAAATGTAACGAATCTTTCCTGATTGGTATCTAATATGATTGAACGACAACGCTAAACGGTTGAAACCGTTACAACTTTGCCTTCTTTGCCAGGTGTTCAAGAGTTATCAAAAAAAATTAATAAATATAAACGGGATTTCACGAATAATTAAGTAACTTAATACTGGGCAATGAATATTCTAATTAATTTAACAAAATCCACGATATTTTTATAGAGAGTATTAAAACATATAATAGTGTCAGTACGAAAATTTTCCATATATTTATTTACAGAAAGACTTTGCATTTCAATTGAAGGATGCTACTTCGCTCAGGATTCAATTTGGAAAATTAAAATTCGTCAAAAGTGAAGATATTTCAAATAGAATTGTAAAAATTGCCACTCAAGATTTCATTCCCAATTGATTTAAGACAATGGCATTTTCTTAATTGTGAAATTACATGAACATGAAAAGAAATAACAAATAGCTATCTTATAGAATGAAATCTATTGACATATTTGCAGAATAATTTTGAATTAAGGGAAGTCACAAGTGAAAGATTTCCATGATTTTATTTTAAGGCAATCAAAATTTGTTCAAAAATTAAGAATTCAAATAATTTCTATTTGTTAACTGAAAATATGTTTGTATGAGTCAATGAACAAACTTAGACAAACTTTGGTCAATACAAAATGGCTTTGGAGTCGGAAGTTTCAAGAGGTAACACTTGCGAGATATTCACAATTAGACTTTAGCCTTTTTCGATCATGTTTTCTGTCCCAAAAATAGGCAGAAAAGTTTTAGAGTTCTCGTGCTTGATGAACGATCAACAGCAGTACTATCGTCTTGCCTCAGAATGCAAGACATTTATGACACTGGAATTACCTGTATGCTTCATTTGTGTTTTGCAATTTGGTTTAGTGGTTGAGAACATAACAAAAATCAGAAGAACATTGCCTATGGAAGCAATTTATATTCTCGAACCATGCAGAGATGTAAACTACTTTAACATGTTTTACTTATAAATTTAGTCGATAAGTCGACTTTTAAAGGATTTTTCAACTAACCCCAAAACGTACAAAGCAGCCTACGTATATTTTACAGTCGGTTAGTAAATTATTTTTGAATTTTGTTTCAATATAATGAAAACTTAATTGTTTATATCTATTTTTTAGCCCCGTCCGAAGATATACTTAAACAAATTTCAACCTCCCATTGCATAAGATATTTTAAGGCTCTTGTAGTTCTTAATCTTGGATTTTTACCTATTGAATCACACATATTTTCAATAAATTGTTACGAAACTGCCTGGCTCTACACAAGTCCGATAGATCGAGTACCTGATATGAATGCTCGTTTGGAGAGTCTAGCGGAACAAATCGCAACAATATGTGTTACACTCAATGAATTTCCGAAAATTCGCTATAGAAAGTACGTGCTGGAAATTAAACACACCTTTTATTAAATTTTTCACATATTAGTTAGATAGTATTTTTTGTTTTCTTCAATTGTCATTTGAATATTATTTTTTTATTAGACGAGCTAACAATCTAGAGCTCGCTCAATTTGTTCAAATGAAGCTTGCAAAACACAAGGAAGATAATCCTCAACTTGGTCAAGTTAGTTAAGTTATTTTTATTTTCGAAAAATAATAATATGCCCTATTGTTTATTCTTTGCTTTTCTAAATTGTTTTAAGGGTCCTCATAAAGATAGAAGCATTCTTCTTATATTGGATCGTGGATTTGATCCACTCACTCCTATCCTTCATGATCTTACACTCCAACCGTTAATTCGAGATTTAAAGGATATTGAAAACAATGAATATGCGTAGGTTCCACTAAGTCTTCCTATTCCATTTCTCTTAGTTACGGAAATGGACATAACTTCGAATTAACAGACAAGGACAAGCTTTGGAAGGAGCTTCGAAATGAGCATATTGCGGATGTTTCGAGGTAATTTCCTCTTAACTATCAAGGACTTTTGATAGGAACTTGCCGTCTCGACTAAAGGCTTTCGCGGAAAGCAAGAAGCACTTCCTGGCATCTAAAAAGAGAGCAAGTGAACTTAGTAGTTTAGGAAGTCAGCGCGGTTCAATTGAATCTATTGATAGTGCAGCATCATCTGGCGTTGTGAACTACGGAGCAGAAGTTCCTCCGGATGTATCCAGTTCTTCCAAGTCGAGCACTGCAATGCTACGATCTCTCCAGGTCATGGTGCACGAGATGCCCCAATATCAAAAGGAAGCTGCTAGCTACAATGCCCTTGTCTCTATCACTGACTACTGCTTATCAGCCTGCCGGGAGAATATTAATACACTTTGTTCGGTCGAACAGGTAATTTGTTAACTTCATCAACTGATGAGAGTTATTTTAAAATAGGACTTAGTAATGGGACAGACAGCACAGGGAGATCCTCTGGCGAACCCAATGATGTCACTTGTCAATGTCTTGAAGCCTGATTCAATGTCAGAAGTGGAGAGATTCCGACTCATTATGATCTTCATTCTAACTCAAGGTAGAGTATTCCATTATGTTTAGAAGAATACACCTCAAGAATGGTTTTGAAGTTGTAACATTTTATTTTTTTGTTTCAGGAGGTATTATCGAGTCAAATCTGGAGAAACTGCTTGACTACTCTCGCCTTTCATTGACTTACAAATCTCTTGTTGCTGCAATGTCCTCGATTGTTGGCGCACGTCTCATTACAAGCACTGTATGTCATTCACTTGATACCAACCAGAGTACTTATTTACTCATATAGTTAATATTTACAGTCAATACTTTGATTGAGTCACACTTAATGCAGCTTAAAAAGAAAAATGCAGTAGCTACCGATATTTCAACCCACTTTCAAGGAATTCGCAATTTTTATTTCAACGTGATATTTAGGTGGAGTTAATCTTTCACACCGGCTCTTTTACTGTGACAATCCAAGTTAACGACAATCTGCATACCACACTAAATCTGTTCTAGGTGCTACACTCACACAGGTGTATGACTTGTCAAGAACTAGCCCAGTTGATTTGTCTTAAGAACCTTACAGATAGACTTCCATTTAAAATACATTGCTTTTGAGTGAATTGAAAAATTTTCATATTTTTCTTATACTGAAACTTTTAATGCTCCATCCATTACCCTCAAGAAGTAGAATGAAGTCACATCGAATTAGAGCTCTCAGTATTGCACTATCATGACGATTAGTAACGAACTCGAGTGTTCTATATCTAAATGCTGTGAGACTTATTGTTGAGTAAAAGCAGTAGACACCCAAGAACATCGAAAAGTGCACGCACAACGTATCATAAAGGACAATAGTTCTAACTATCACAATTCAAAACCAAGAGTTTCGTATCCAAGCTTACACGTAGTATGTAGCCGTCATAAATGAAATTAATGTGTCAAATTTTGATTGACCTTTTGTTGTAATCATTTCTAGGACGGCTCATTCGACTCACCACTATTTCGAGGGCTCCCGGAAATTAACAGAGCACCCCCTTTCATTCAATACTATCTGCCAACAAAGGGCAAACGGCTCCATGATGTGGACGAAAATTCCTACGCCCTCTCACGATGGACACCCTATCTTGATGATCTTCTTGAGGTGAGTAGAACAGCATGCACCATTATTATTAGTCCTTAAAATTTTGATTTATGCATAATTAAATTAAAGCACCAATGGTTAAACCAAAATAACAACATTTTAAAACATAGAGCTTTTATTGGTAAAAAAAAAAAAAAAAAGCGAATAGGAGAGAGATTCCTCAAGGATAGCTTTTGATTTTAGATTTGTCTTCAGTTTCATAAACCCCCTCAGGACCAATTATGCACATTTTGACATTGTATGACTTGTATAAGAGTCATTGTCAGTCTTTGTATGGCTCTAAGCAAATTGTTCTGTGCTAACCAATCACCATCTTTCCATACGGATCAAATGGTCTCTACACTTCTTTAATGTTCGATAGCTTAGTTTATTCACGAAAATTCAATCTCCTGGAGGTATTTGAAGAAATGTCCTTTCAAGAACCTTATAACTTGCATAGTGAGATGAAGTCTTGTTGAATTGAATGAAATGAAAACCTACTTATTGGTAGAATAAACTAAAAATATGTCTGAATGGATTTTCTAAGGTCTAATAAACAAGCAAGTTGGTTAAAAATGTGAGTACACGCTGTAACAAGGAAAAAATACCTCCCAAAGTTACATCAGAGTATTGCGTTTTTCAAAACTCATTTCAATTTCGTTTTTAAATAAGCAAAGCACAAGAATATTCAAATTATAGCTCAATATCTGTGTTTGGATATGGTATGTTGACCTCAATAATATGATATGACAAATTCCAGAGGAGTAAAATTTAGGCTCATTTGGACTAGAATATTGGATTTTGTTGATGTATTTAAAATAATTTTACAGAAATGTGAACTCTTATTATTAATTTCCAGTTTAAATTACCCAGCCCTCATTTTGGTGGACCCTTGGGCAGCTTATGTTGTAGATACTGGACAAATAAGCACTTTGGTAATTCCCTCAGCAGTACGACTACCTACAGACTCCCCTAGCATACTGAATTACACCACAATTAGTTAGACTCTGTTCAACGTAGTGAAAACGCAGAGCATGCAGGTCGAATCACGTTTATCGTATCTCTGGCCTTTTACAAAACATGATCAGTAGTTTAATAGGTTTATGCTGGATGAATAGTTATTTATTTCAAATGGCAGGCGTTTTGATATTTTCATTAGCCCTTTAGCTGACTTCAGGCTTCATAGAGGGAAGGAACATCAAATTGAGAAGAGGTCGAGGGGTGGGGGGGG